TCCTTCTCCTGCTACTCCTCTTCACGGATTCCGTCAGCAGTCTTTCTTGGAATCCGTTTCCAAGAGACAACAGTTTGCGAGCACGCACCCGACGGTGCAAAAGCTGAACGTCCTCCTGTCCAAGTTGCTGGTGCTGCAGTCCCTCCCTTTCCAAGTGGTGGACTCAGCACCTTTCCGAGAAATGATGGCTTGTGCCCGCGCCGCGGTGGAGAGTGCCAAGCCGGCATTTCTTCGCCAAAAAGGCAGTGCCAGCCCTGCATTCACATGTAGAAGAGATGGTGGGCCAGTCTTTGAGCATGTCGGTCTCTGCCAAAGTGCACGGCAGCGCCGACGTGTGGAGCTGTAACTACGGTCAGGGACAGTACATGTCATTTACGGCCCACTGGGTGAACGTGGTGCCGGCACAGCCGCACCAGCAACTTGGACAGGTCACGCCGCTTTTGCCTCCACGTTTGCACGTCCTTGGTCCAGCAAAGATGTCCGCCTCTACCACCTCTTCTTCCGCCGTGTCCTCAGCCGCCACCCCCGTGCCAAGTCCCATTACCCGACCGGCATATCACATGTGCAGGGCGCAACGGTGTCACGCTGTGCTGCACCTGGTATGCCTTGGCGAATGTAGTCACACAGGGGAGGAACTTCTGAGTGTAATGAACAGAGAAATCGACAGATGGCTGTCTCCGCGCAAACTGAAAATCGGAACCATGTTGACCGACAACGGAAAGAACATGGTGTCTGCTCTGCGTCAAGGAAGGTTGTGCCATGCGCCATGCATGGCTCACGTGTTCAATCTGGTTGTCAAGCGGTTCCTAAAATCCACCATCCCACTGCAAGACATCCTTAAAATGTCACGTAAACTTTGCATGCATTTCAGCCATTCCTACACCGCAAAGCACACCCTCCTTGAGCTGCAGCGGCAGAACGGAATTCCACAGCATCGCCTGATCTGCGACGTTGCAACAAGGTGGAATTCAACCCTACATATGTTAGACCGCCTTTACGAACAGCGAAAGGCCATCACCGATTTCCTGATGTTACAAGCGGATAAAGGTACTCCCCTGTGTAACTTAGATGTCAGCCATTGGCAGCTCATGCGTGACACCTGCCGCTTGCTCAGGCCCTTTGAGGAGGCCACGCTATTCGTGAGTCGGCAGGACTATGGGATGAACGACGTCATTCCTCTGTTGCACGTCCTGGAACAAATGCTGTTAACAATGGCTGGTCAGGGTGCGGTAGACGTGGCGCACAGATCTCAACGCCACATGACCCCTGTGGGGGCAGGACAGGACAGGAAGAAGAGGAGGAGGTAGAGGAGGACATTGGTGCTCAGGAATTATTGAGTGAAATGGGTGGTTTTTCCACTCAGCGGACAGGAGTGGAGGAGCAGGAGCATCTGGTAGAGGAGGAGGAGGAGACAGAGGACCCAGACGCACCGTGGCAGTATGCTGTGGAGATGGAGGCAGGGAGTCCCTCGCATTCCTTGGCACAAATGGCCCATAGCATGCTCGGTTGCTTGCGTAGCGACAGCCGAATAATAACCATCAGACAGAGGGATGACTTTTGGCTGTCCACCTTGTTGGACCCTCGCTACCGTTCAAAAATGGTGGCCTTTTTCACACCTGCTGAGAGGGAGGCCAAAATAACGTACTATAAAAAACCACCTATGTAGTCAGTTGGTCTCTGCCTTTCTGCGCCAACGTCCATCCTCAGACACTGTGGGCCCTGTGCGCTCGCGTTCCGCTGCCATGGCAGCAGGGGAGGGGTGGGGTGGTAGGAGCAGTGGCAGCTCCACCAGCAGCGGCTGCCTCAGTCTGCAGTCGATGATGAGTAGCTTTCTTCACCAGCGCAGTGAGGAAACTACTAACCAGCCGCAGCAGCAGCAGCATCAGGTGGACCTGGAGCAGGAGCTCAAACAACAGGCTTGGGCCTACTTGGACAGCACCCTGCCAACCGAGGTAGACAATCCCCTTGACTACTGGGCAACGAAACTTGACCTTTGGCCCCAACTAGCTGAATTTGCCCTTGAAAGGCTGTCATGCCCGGCCAGTAGCGTGGCATCGGAGCGCGTGTTTAGTGCGGCAGGAGGTATTGTAACTCCGCGGAGGACACGACTGTCCACCCAAAGTGTGGAGAGACTCACGTTTGTGAAAATGAATCAGGCGTGGATTAGTCTGGATTTCAAACCACCAGTTCCTGACACAACTGACTAAATCCGCCATGAATCATGCCCCAAACATGTTATTATTTTTAACATAGGCCTCTGTATGGCCTTCAATTTAAGCTGCTTACGCTTCGCCACTCTGCCATGGGCCCCTGTACCGCCTCCTCATTGCTGCTGCCAGGCCCGTAATCTGTCATGGGCCCCTGTACCGACTCCTCATTGCTGCTGCCAGGCCCGTACTCTGCCATGTGCCCCTTTAGGTCGCCTCCTCTGCTGCTGCTGCCAGGTCCAGAGTTTGTCATGGGTCCCTGTACGGCCTCCCATTGCTGCTGACTTCATCGCCACACTCTGCCATGTGCAACTTTCAGGTCTCCTTCACTGTTGGTGGGTTCCATTTTGTGATAGGGTGCTGTATGGCCTTCCATTGCTGCTGCCTCCCACCGCCACCCCTGCGCCATGTGCCTCTGTTGTCTGCTCACGCTGCTGACGGCTTCCGCTTTTTAACGAGGCCTGTGTTTGGCTTCCGAATACTGCTGCATCCACCGCCACCCTGCGCCATGTGTCTCTGTCGTCTGCTCACGCTGCTGACGGCTTCCGCTTTTTAAACCTAGGCTGTGTATGGCTTCAGAATAAATGCTGCCTACACCGCCACCCTGCGCCATGTGCCTCTGTCGTCTGCTCACTCTTCGCTGCCAGGTCCATACTGATTCATGGCCCCCTGTACCGGCTCCTCATGAACGTGGTTTCAGCGGGTTTGCATCACTTAACGGCAAATCGTTGACAAACGCTGGGACGTTCAGTGTTGTGCGCATTAAGCCAGACACCAAAGGGCAGCACAGACCTGTTATTACTCGCTCAAGCATGGCTGAACAAAACCAGTCTCTACCACAAATTGGACCCAGACCTGCCCAGGGTCTCGTAAGTAGATTGCACGGAGGAGTAGAGTTCGTTATTGGAATTAACTGTGAGGGACTTTTAAACCTAGGCATGTGTATGGCCTTCAATTGAAGCTGCTTCTGCTCCGCCACTCTGCCATTGGACTCTTGATAGTCGACGACTATCAAGAGTCCCCAATGGCAGAGTGGCGGAGCAGAAGCAGCTTCAATTGAAGGCCATTACACATGCCTAGGTTTTTAAAAGTCCCTCACAGTTAATTCCAATAACGCTCTACTCTCTCCGTGCAATCTACTTACGAGACCCTGGGCAGGTCTGGGTCCAATTTGTGGTGCCTGGTTTTGTTCAGCCATGCTTGAGCGAGTAATAACAGGTCTGTGCTGCCCTTTGGTGTCTGGCTTAATGCGCACAACACTGAACGTCCCAGCGTTTGTCAACGATTTGCCGTTAAGTGATGCAAACCCGCCCTGAACCACGTTCATGAGGAGCCATTGTACAGGGGGCCATGAATCTGTATGTGCCCTGGCAGCAGCGTGAGCAGACGACAGAGGCACATGGCGCAGGGTGGCGGTGTAGGCAGCATTATTCTGAAGCCATACACAGGCCTAGGTTAAAAAGCGGAAGCCGTCAGCAGCGTGAGCAGACGACAGAGCTTCCACATGGCGCAGGGTGGCGGTGGATGCAGCAGTATTCGGAAGCCAAAACACAGGCCTCGCTTTTAAAAAAGCGGAAGCGGTCAGCAGCGCTTTTGAGCAGACGACAGAGTCTCACATGGCGCAGGGTGGCGGTGGAGGCAGCAGCAATGGAAGGCCATACAGCACCCTATCACAAAATGGAACCCACCAACAGTGTAAGGAGACCTGAAAGTGGCCACGGCTGTCTGGCGATGAAGTCAGCAGCAATCGAGGCCCGTACAGGGACCCTCTGACACACTCTGACCTGGCAGCAGCAAGAGGAGGCGGTTCCAGGGGCCCATGGCAGAGTGGCGAAGCGTAAGCAGCTTAAATTGAAGGCCATACAGAGGCCTATGTTAAAAAGTCCCCCCAGCAGCAGCGTGGGGAACGACTATTAGTCGTCTCCCCACGCTGCTGCTGGGGGGGACTTTTTAAATAGGCCTCTGTATGGCCTTCAATTGTAGCTGCTTACGCTCCGCCACTCTGCCATGGGCCCTGTACCGCTCCTCATGCTGCTGCCAGGCCCGTAATCTGCCATGGGCCCCCGTTTGGACTCCTCATGCTGCTGCCAGGCCCGTAATCTGTCATGGGCCCCTGTACCGCCTCCTCATGCTGCTGCCAGGTCCAGAGTGTGTCATGGGTCCCTGCACGGCCTCCCATTGCTGCTGTCTCCATCGCCACACTCTGCCATGTGCCACTTTCAGGTCTCCTTCCACTGTTGGTGGGTTCCATTTTGTGATAGGGGTGCTGTATGGCCTTCCATTGCTGCTGCCTCCACCGCCACCCTGCGCCATGTGCCTCTGTCGTCTGCTCACGCTGCTGACGGCTTCCCGCTTTTTAACCGAGGCCTGTGTTTGGCTTTCGAATACTGCTGCATCCACCGCCACCCTGCGCCATGTGTCTCTGTCGTCTCTGCTCACGCTGCTGACGGCTTCCGCTTTTTAACCTAGGCCTGTGTATGGCTTCCGAATACTGCTGCCTCCCACCGCCACCCTGCGCCATGTGCCTCTGTCGTCTGCTCACGCTGCTGACGGCTTCCGCTTTTTAAAACTAGTCCTGTGTATGTCTTCCGAATACTGCTGCCTCCACCGCCACCCTGCGCCATGTGCCACTTTCAGGTCTCCTTACACTGTTGGTGGGTTCCATTTTGTGATAGGGTGCTGTATGGCCTTCCATTGCTGCTGCCTCCACCGCCACCCTGCGCCATGTGCCTCTGTCGTCTGCTCACGCTGCTGACCACTTCCGCTTTTTAACCGAGGCCTGTGTTTGGCTTCCGAATACTGCTGCATCCACCGCCACCCTGCGCTATGTGTCTCTGTCGTCTGCTCACGCTGCTGACTGCTTCCGCTTTTTAACCTAGGCCTGTGTATGGCCTTTAATTGAAGCTGCTTCTGCTCCGCCACTCTGCCATTGGACTCTTGATAGTCGTCTCCCCACGCTGCTGCTGCTGGGGGGACTTTTTAACATAGGCCTCTGTATGGCCTTCAATTTTAGCTGCTTACGCTCCGCCACTCTGCCATGGGCCCCTGTACCGCCTCCTCATGCTGCTGCCAGCCCGTAATCTGCCATGGGCCCCCGTACCGACTCCTCATGCTGCTGCCAGGCCCGTAATCTGTCATGGGCCCCTGTACCGCCTCCTTATGCTGCTGCCAGGTCCAGAGTGTGTCATGGGTCCCTGTACGGCCTCCCATTGCTGCTGTCTCCATCGCCACACTCTGCCATGTGCCACTTTCAGGTCTCCTCACACTGCTGGTGGGTTCCATTTTGTCATAGGGTGCTGTATGGGCCTCCCATTGCTGCTGCCTCCACCGCCACACTGTGGCTCCACACTCTGGTTTTGGCCCCGTGACTGCCCAAATGAGTGAAGTGTGCGGTGATTCTAAGATCGACGGCACTCATCTGCATGTCATACTGACTGACAGTATTATTTCTCTTCCCCAGCAGACTCCAAGGGCATTTAAATTAAAGGTACAGTGTTCTGCACTAATATAAAGGCTCTCTGAAGCCTAGAAACACCCTTTTTATAAGTTAAATTTGCGGCGAATATATTCGGATCGAATCAAATTTTTTCGGCGAATTCGGCGAATCAGCCGAACCGAATTATTGAATAATTCGCTCATCTCTAGTTATATCCAGTTATATTCTGTGTATCCAAGAAAGAATCCAGGACTTTCCTACAGCAATCCACTGAGCTGGCCACAACCAAACCCTGAGGGAATCTATTCCACATTCTCACACAGCTCTTACTGTGAAGAAACCTTTCTGTGTTTGGAGATTAAATCTCTTTTCCTCCAGACATAAAGAGCGCCCCCTTGTCCTCTGTGATGAGATCTCAGGGTGAAAAACTACACCGAGTTCACTATATGAACCAATGATGTATTTATACATGGAGATCATATCCCCCTTATATATTATACATGGAGATCATATCCCCCCCCTTATGTATTATACATGGAGATCATATCCCCCTTATGTATTATACATGGAGATCATATCCCCCCTATGTATTATACATGGAGATCATATCCCCCCTTATGTATTATACATGGAGATCATATCCCCCCCTTATGTATTATACATGGAGATCATATCACCCCTTATGTATTATACATGGAGATCATATCCCCCCTTATGTATTATACATGGAGATCATATCCCCCCTTATGTATTATACATGGAGATCATATACCCCCCCTTATGTATTATACATGGAGATCATATCCCTCCCTTATGATATTATACTTGGAGATCATATCCCCTCATATATTATACATGGAGATCATATCCCCCCTTATGTATTATACATGGAGATCATATCCCCCCTTATGTATTATACATGGTGACCATATCCCCTTATGTATTATACATGGAATCATATCCCCCCTTATGTATTATACATGGAGATCATATCCCCCCTTATGTATTATACATGGAGATCATATCCCCTCCCTTATGTATTATACATGGAGATCATATCCCCCCTTTTGTATTATACATGGAGAATCATATCCCCCCTTATGTATTATACATGGAGATCATATCCCCCCTTATGTATTATACATGGAGATCATATCCCTCCCTTATGTATTATACATGGAGATCATATCCCCCCTTATGTATTATACATGGAGATCATATCCCCCCTTATGTATATACATGGAGATCATATCCCCCCTTATGTATTATACATTGAGATCATATCCCCCCTTATGTATTATACATGGAGATCATATCCCCCCCTTATGTATTATACATGAAGATCATATCCCCCTTATGTATTATACATGGAGATCATATCCCCCTTATGTATTATACATGGAGATCATACCCCCCCTTATGTATTATACATGAAGATCATACCCCCCCCTTATGTATTATACATGGAGATCATATCCCCCTTATGTATTATACATGGAGATCATATCCCCCCTTATGTATTAATACATGGTGACTCAGATCATATCCCCCCTTATGTATTATACTTGGAGATCATATCCCCCCTTATGTATTATACATGGAGATCATATCCCCCTTATGTATTATACATGGAGATCATATCCCCCTTATGTATTATACATGGAGATCATAATCCCCCTTATGTATAGTTATACATGGAGATCATATCCCCTTTGTATTTTATACATGGAGATCATATCCCCCCTTAATCTCCCTCTTCTCAGTAGAGAATAAATTCCAGTTCCTCTAATCTTTCCTCATAGCTGAGCTTCTCCATGCCTCTTATCAGTTTGGTTGCCCTTCTCTGTACTTCCTCCAGTTCCCCCAATGTTCTTTAATGTGAATTGGTGCCCAAAACTGAACTGCATATTCCAGATGAGGTCTTACTAAGGATTTGTACCCGGGGGAGGGGCGGGCGAATGATATCTCTCTCTCTCTGGAGTCTATACTCTTTGGAGATTTTTGCTCGCTTTAGAACCCGCAGCTTGACATTGCTGCCATTATTAAGCTTGTGATCTACGAGAACCCCCAGATCCTTCTCCACCATTGATTCCCCCAGTTGTACCCTCCTTCCCCCAGTATGTATGACGCATGCATATTCTTAGCCCCCAACTGCAGAACCTTACATTTATCAACATTAAACCTCATTGGTCACATAGTCCCCCAATTACACAGAGCATTGAGGTCGGCTTGTAAATTGGAGACATCCTGTAAGGACGTTATTCTACAGCACAGCTTGGTGTCATCTGCAAAGACTGAAATGGGATTTATAATCTCAGACCCCAAATCATTTAAATGTATTAAAAAGTAAGGGTCCCAACACTGAACCTTGGGGTACACCACTGATAACACTGAACCCTGGGGTACCCCACTGATGACCCCAGACCATTCAGAGTATAAATCATTAACCACTACTCTCTGAATACAATCTTTTGGTCAGTTTCTATAACCATTTACATTTCGGATTGTTCCAAGACTTTAGACTTTACCTTTACACATTAGCCGCGTGTGGGGAACTGTGTCAAACACGCATTGACGTTTGCAAAAATCCAAGTATACTACGTCTATTGCCACCCTTCTGTCCAAGTATACCACGTCCACCGCCACCCCACTGATTCCAAGTGTACCACGTCCACAACCACCCCTATGTCCAAGTATACCACATCCACCGCCACCCCCTCTCAGTCCAAGTGTACCACGTCCACCACCACCCCTCTGTCCAGTATACCACGCACCCACTGCCACCCCTATGTCCAAGTATACCACGTCCACCCCCACGCCTCTGTCCCCATATACCGCGTCCCACAGCCACCCCTCTGTCCAAGTATAACCAATGTCCACAGCCACCCCTCTGTCCAAGTATACCATGTCCACAGCCACCCCTCTGTCCAAGTATACCATGTCCACTAAGCCACCCCTATGTCCAAGTATACCACGTCCACCCCCCACGCCTCTGTCCCAGTATACCGCGTCCACAGCCACCCCTCTGTCCAAGTATACCATGTCCACAGCCACCCCTCTGTCCAAGTATAATATGCCCACAGCCACCCCTCTGTCCAAGTATACCACGTTCCACACCCCCACCCCTCTATCCCAGTATACACCGCGTCCACAGCTACCCCCCTCTGTCCCAAGAATACCATGTCCACCGCCACCCCTCTGTCCAAGTATACCACGTCCACCGCCACCCCTCTGTCCAAGTATACCATGTCCACAGCCACCCCTCTGTCCCAGTATACCGCGTCCACAGCCACCCCTCTGTCCAAGTATAACCACGTCCACCACCACCCCTCTGTCCATGTATACCCATGTCCACCGCCACCCCTCTGTCCAAGGTTTTGCTCACCTTCTCATAAAAATAAATCAGATTTGTTTGACAACTTCTGTCTTTCATGAAATCCATGCTGTCCTGTTGCTGAATGGCTCCGCCCACTGCCCTCAAACGAGGAATAATGCCTTCTGTCTGTTTAAGAAGACTTTACTGAGCTTTGCACTGATTAGTACGAAAGTAAAAAGTGTGAAAAAATTACATCACAGAATTTAAAATCCTTGTATAGGCCAAACTTTGTTTTATTTCTTGCTAGAAAAAGGAGTAAAAAAAAGTTCAGATGAGTTTTTTTTTTGCTGTGTTTCTGCCCCATCAGGTAGATATCCCACGATTAAATTCCTGTCCCCGGAGCACCACAACAGGAGGTGATGAAAATTCCTACAAAGTGAGAGGAATTCCCCTTTTATACAGTTGCCACCTGAATAAATTGACCCGCATGGAAGATTAATTCTCATCTCTTGTTCCTGTGACAATTTAAAAAATCTTTAGACTCCCCCCTCACTGTAAAGGATGAATCTCCACAGATGGGGACACAGATAGCAATAGAAACCCAGCAAAGGGCCTAACCCTTCCTTACACCATCCAAAATTGTTTTGCATTTACATACACTTTACAGGTAAAATATAGTAAATTGTGTGATCATCAAAAAATACACTATATGTTCAGTTAAAAAATTAATAGTCGCAGAATAACTGGTCTTTGTTTATTTATTTTTAGATTCTGAAACAAAGAAATCATGACTTCTACCACAGATGCCACAAAGAGGATAAAAACATCTTAGATGGAAATTAATAGAAGTGTTTGAGGATAGGACACAGAGGGTTTCAGTGATGAGATGGGATCTCAAGGCCTTATAACCCTGGATGAGATGATTCAACTTCAACATGATGGAGATCCAAGAGGGAGAGTTGAAAAAATGATGAGCAATTATAGATCAGAAAGAAGAACACTGTCAGAAATTCCTGTGTCATCTTGAGAACATGATCCCAGATTTCCAGCACTGAGTGACCTGTCCCACCACTTTCCAGAAAGTTAAGTTATCTGAACTATAGAAGTATTTTAGGCTGGGGATCTCATCCTACCTATCCCACCGCACCTTCAGTGTCACTTACAATTCTACTTCCTCTTCTCCTTTTCTTTCTCCGTATGAGTCTCCCAAGGTTCTGTTTTTGGTTCTATTCTCAATCTACTTCTCCTCCCTGGGTCAGCCTTCCATGGCTTTCAATACCATTTCTATGCTGATGAAACCCAAATCTATCCCTCTACACCTCAGCTCACAACATCAGTCTCTCCTCACGCATCACTAAATTACTGACCAACATATCAGACTGGATGTCACATCACTTCCTCAAACTCAATCTATCCAAAACCAAGATCATAATATTTCCTCCTCCGCGTGTCCTTTCCCCTGACATTTTTGTCAAGATCATGACCTAGCTACTAATCTGTCCCTGCAAGCCAGGGTAACAAGGTGTAATCCTGGACTCTGAACTTCCTTTTGGCCCCACATCCAATCACTTTTCACTTGTCCCTCCAGGACTTCTCCTGACCCTCTCCTATCCTATGGAATTCCCTACCCCAATCTGTCCAGCTATCTCCTACTGTGACCCACTTTTTGATGATCTGTCCCTGAAAACATTTCTCTTCAAAACTTATCCTGCCTCCACCTAACAACTGCACTTTTATTTTCTCCATCAGCTCATTCCCCACAGTTATTACCTTTTGTATCACTTGATCCTCCCCTTTTAGATTGTGAGCTCTAATGAGCCGGGCCCTCTGATTCCTACTGCATGAAATTGTATTGTAACTGTCAGGGCTTTTTTTCCCGCAGGGGAACACTGACACCATCCAGCACTAAATGTATGTGAATGGCAAGGGGGTGGTTTGCTGGAAGGTCCTATTGATATTGGCTGCTGGGGGATCTATTTTGCATGGAGGTTTATTGTTGCTAATGGGGGGAGGTTCTATTGCTTCTGGCTTTGGGGGAATTATTGTATTGCTTTTCTTGTTATTCATTAATAAATTCCATAAAAATGCTTAGCACCACAAAATGATACTTGGCTCTGTATTCTGTAAACGGAGTGGTACTGGGAGGTGGGTGGAACCAAGGGACGGTGCTTGGAGGTGGGGGAGGGCGGAGACAAGAAGTGACTCAGAAGGGGGCGTTTCATGCACCTATTTTATGAGAAAAAAAAGCCCCGGTAAAACTGTACTGTCTGCCCTCATGTTGTAAAGTGCTGCACAACTGTTGGTGCAAATAATAATCCTGTATAATAATAATTCACTAAGAACTAAGGCATTTCATATGCATTTTTGTCCTTAGAATAACTCATGAGGTATTTATCTCACAAGCAGTCAATTTAATAAAAACACTTATATTTTAAGAATGAGTTAGATGTTTCTATTTTGCAATATTAGCACTTCATTTAGTAGTTATTTTTTGTTGCTTTATCTCAATTTTTTGTCACATTGTACAACAGTGAGTGGAATGTATTTTGCGTTTTTCCCCATGGTGTTTTTTCCCATGCAATTTTTTTGATGTGTGTTTTTGCAGGGGTTTTTTTTAGGATTTTTTTTTCAAACTTGGGCCAGATTAAAATGCAAAAAGCATCAAAATTGTGTCAAAAAACACAAAAAAAAACCACTACATCATTTCTGCAGTGTCTATTGTAAGCCAAAATGCAGTGCTTTTTGCGTTTAAAAAGTCCCTGGCCTTTCCAAAAAAGGGCACCAGGTTTAAACTCGACAGATGTGAATGTGTCCCATAGGAGATCATATAAATGGACTCGCAGTGCGTTTCTAAAAAATGCAAAATGCACCACAATAACACACTTAGGTGTGAACCTAGACTGTTGTATTTATTGTTTTAAACTATTTATACCATTAATGCTTAACATAAGGTTATATATTAAAAACATTTTTGCTCTTTTTACAGATAAATTGAAGATTTTCCAGGAACTTCTTGTCAGATTAAATATGGAGCATTTAAATGATTCCAAAATGACATTGAAACACAAACATCCTAGAAATTGGAGCAGAGACTCTTGAGTGATGTCCATCCCCAGACCATTCAAGATGTTCCGTGGCATTTGATTTGAGGAAAGCTGATGGCCTTGAACAGAGCTGCACTTATTACTCAGTATGGACAAGATACACAAATAATCAGTTCCACTGATAAACATGTTTTGAGTCAATGTCTGAAGGGGAAAGTAGGGTCAATTGAATCTATTCACCCCTGGATGTCCTCTGTGCTCTCCTCCATTGTTCAGACAGTTTTCTACAACAAGAGATTGTATCTAAATTGTCCATGTGTCAGTTTGCCATCCCTCTCCTTCTCCCTGCTGGGTGATGGGTCAAACTGCACGCCTCACATGCTTTGGGCAATGAGGGACATTGTGAAGAAGTGAGACCTCAGTCAATGACTGATAGGAAAGGGGGTTCCAATGAGGAAAATGTGGTGAAATATTTCCATGCCTATTTTCTCCTTCATCAGACTGGGTGACACCAAAACTATCCAAATCTAAAATCCAGAAATCAAGTTCTTAATCCAGCCCAACAACACCAAAACTTTCTTCATACACGATGATATGGAGGGAGGAAATATCGAGAGGAAAATATCTGATGGCCTTGTGGAAATGTCCTGGTATTTTCCCTGTGGTAAGTCAGATGTTTTTCCCAGAACCCATTGCAGTGACCAGCCTACGAGGAGACCTGGAGACCAACATGAACCAATTCACATTTCTGACTCGAGTCTCACCAGCTGTATTTATATTCATTGAAAGTATTTTTCTGAGATACAATTCAGACTTTTATCATCCTTCACCTAACACTGACACTCAGCTTTTTATTTTATTGTTACTCCAGAAAAGGGGAAAAAAATAAGTTAAGTAGACCACAAAGCACATAAAAAATCTAATGACATCGTTAAAGATGAGTAAAACAAATATTATTCTGAAAAACCAGCACAGACAATGATGCAGCATTGGTGAAAAAAAAATTCAGAATTGCATTGAGAGTATTTTTAAATAATAGTCAGAAAGAAAGACGAAACCTGTGTAGTGCTACAAAATTAAAACTGAAGGACTTCATATCTTTGTTGAATGAGAATTTTGCTGAATGTCAGAAAGCAAAAAGTAAATGCAAATAAAGTTACTTCAGTAATAAAAGATTTGGAAGGGTATAAAAAGGAACATTGAAATTACAGGGAAGATCTGTGGAAGGAATTGTCTAAAGTAGAAAAAGAAATTTGCAGAAATGTGCGAAACAATGGGAAAAAGATGCACAAAAATATCAATCTGAGCTCAAAGAACATCTCAATT